TGAAATGTGAAAATATCCCTTGCAATTAAGAGATATTAAATGGATGTGTAGTATAAAGTCACATGTTTAATTAAAAGATTATGAAAAGTAATAATCACATTTAATACTATTCCACGTCCACGCGCCGCCTATGGCTGACATTGAATGCGTTTCAGTGCCTGTACCGCAGGATATGAAATGGCCTTAAGATTTGAGACTCGAAGGGATGTGGATAATTAGAACGGAAAAACCCATGTCTTTGGCTCATTACCCAACTTTCAATGCATGGCCCAAATCTGTCTCCAAAAGACTAAATCATCGTTGTACTATGGCCTCCTTATCGATTTAGGACATGTTTGGTTCAGTTTTCAAGTGTTTTAATTTTTTGATATTATTTATATTTTATAAATTTAAATTTTTTTTAAAATTTATATTTTAAAATTTTTTTTAAATTTTTTTAACCTTAAAAAAATCTCAAATAATAAAAGTTCAAAAACTTTAAATTTAAATTTTTCATAAATTTCATTTTTACTCACTTTTTTCTATCTCTAAAAGTAATTTTTAAATTTTTTTCTAATAAAAATTTAAAGTTATCACTCATGAGCAATGCAAAAAAATATAAAACCTTTTGTAAACTAACCCAAACATGCTTTTAGTCCTTGATCCTTATTTTAGCACAAATTTGTATTCCTTCTATAGGCCACAGCATGATTCAGTTTTGGTCTAATTGAAATTAAATTTTGAATTATTTGTTTTTTTTTTAATTTTTAATAGCCAAAACCGAACCAAATTCTTTATAGATTTTTAAGTTTGATAACTAAAATAATCAATTTTAATATTTTCGATTATCATTTATAACTAAATCAATATTAAATGCCTATTTTAACTTTAATAATGAATATACTTAATCAAAATTTAAAATTTTTAAGAAATATAAATATAACAAAATGAAAAAAAGAATAAATGAGAGTAAAATATAAATTTTGAGTTTTATTTTTTTACTTTTAAATATATTTTAAATTTAAATACTAA